ATTAATCTACTACATTATGTGACCGCACAAACCCTATGCTGATCCTGATATCGTAATGTCTTGATATCCAAGTGAAGTGAAGTGACGGACGAGGAGAACGTTCACGAACCCATGTTCGTCAGAAAAAGGGAGGAAAATCGAAATGGAATCGTCGCCTATCGCTGGTAGGAAAGAGTAAGGATATGCAGGCCATTCCCTCTTTCGTACACCAGTCTGGAAGACCACCAGGAATGGAAAAACCCTGGCTGTACAGATACGCCAGGATGATGCTGGGGATACCAATTAATCGGACCACCGGGATATCACCATATTGTATAACGGTGTCCGCCATGGTTAGCTATGCGGTTTACTGCTGCCTGCTACCTTACTCACGGTATTTCAACATTTCGTGGCAATGCAATGAGATGTTTATCACTGCGTTAAACCTTGGGAAGGCAGGTAGATGAAAGTCATCACCAGATCGTCCGCCCATAGCTGAGTACTGCATTAGCCTATCAGCATCTGCTTTAGCTTGGCTGATCTCCAAGGTGAAGCATCTGTCGATGAGGTTGCATCTGAATCTCATCATCCTGGACCGGTCAAGAACCCATCTACGATTGACCATCGGCTAAAACATGACCAAAGGAGCCAAATAACTGTCGTTGCCCGACACACATTGGGTCATCTCAGGGACGTATCGCCCGCTAGAGCCCGTACGGTACAGCACAGGTACAGGCCCGTAGTACGACAACTGTACTGTACTGTATCTGCCAACGTACTGTATCTTCATCTCATCTCATCTTGGCTCGTCAGTATGAGTGGAGTGGCGAGTTGTGCACCACACACTTCCATCATGGCGGCGCACTAAGCAAGGGCGTGTCTGATCTCGAGAGATTAGGTCCGTGGGTCATTTCTGCTCTGCTAGCGACGTGAATGGATAACCCGCCAGCGCGGCGCCAGTCGACGATTTCGCGTGGTGGCGGATGAACCATCCCTGCGGGAGCCGCGGGGGACCATTCGAATTGGGTTTCTTTCACAGGGACCTGCGGGCCACACGTGTTGGACCTCAAATAAGGTATCAAGTGGCAGCTCCAGAAAGTTACTTTGAAGCAAGATGAGTGCTCGTCTGTACCCTCTCAACCAGGTGGGCTTGGAATTGCTTGGAGCCTGGTCCTTGCTTAGTGACGTATCTGGCTGCGGTGCCGCCCATCCATCGGGACGCCTCAATCTGCTTCTGCAGAGCGGCCCATCGCTCATCTCTTTGTCTTTCTCACTCAATCCTCTTTGTTCGTCGCTCGTCGCTCGTCGCTCGTCATCGCCTCGGCTTGTAATAGACAAACCATCTGTCGTTAGAGGAGCCATCTTCAGTCATACCCTGATTTTTTACGTCGACATTTTGTTCCCACCTCTTTTCATGCTCATCTCGCTCATTTCTCATGTGAGCCGTCATACTGTATGTAATGTTTCCATTTCTCTTGCCCCTATTTGTTCACCTCAAGCTAGTCCTGGCTCCCATGCTCCATCGATTGCAGGGAACAAATATGTAGCAATGTTGCTGCACTGTACAGTACATGCAATTGGCAGGGGATCTGTACCGGATCGAAATGTGATGTGTCAATGAAAGACCGGTTTACTACCCAAATTATTTGATGTCCAACACCGGTGTCAGAATCGCTGCAACACGAACCTCCCAAACGATGTTGCCCTTGGACTGTTGCACCATTTTCATCCAAAGCCTACCTGCAATGTGTCTTGACATTCCCAAAACACTTGTCCATCGTGTTGTGCTTACCACCGCACATCACTACTTGCCAACGACAACAACAGAACCGACTTACGGTGGCTCGTGCCTTTACGGCAGCGTCAGAAAAACCCGTCGGCTCCATTGGGTGTGATGGTTCAGGGGTGTCTTCTGGTATGTACGCATTGTCTGTGGGCCTTTCAAGCCAGACCGCTGTAGACCCCAGGAACAGGCCCCAGGAAGTCGTACCATTTTGCACAAGTTGAGATTGGAGATCTCCAAAGGCTAGCCGCTACTGAGCCAGCCTATCGTCATGCCCCAGCCATTGGCGCAGAACATGACAAGGCCGGTGTTTGGATCAACAGCAATGGAGAAGAGTGCATCATTGTCTCGCTTTTTCTCCGGCTTCTCTTCCTTTAGGCTTCCTCTAGCACCATAATACCGAAGTAGGGCTGTTTCTGTAGGGTAACGGACTGCTCAGAAACAATAGGTTCAAGAGTATGCATACCGATGACGAACACGGAATAGATGCGCGTCCTCGAGATCTTGCTGTAGAGCCGGCAAGATGCCACAGCCCTAGGGGTTTTCAGTGCTTTCCCCCTGGTCGACATCAAGGCCACTCATCCTTGTTTGGTCTGAGAAGGCCCACCCATCCATGATCGATTTTCTTCGGATCCCTACCGTTCCCCTTCCCCACCCATACCGTATCGTAAACCGTCGTGCCGTCGTGTCCCCTAGCCAGTGGAAGCGAACCTTGAAATCCCTGTAGCATGGGCGGTATCTCTATCCGCGACCGTTTCCTCCAGGCGTCGCGACCTAACGCCGTACAGGATCAAAGAACGTTTGCTGAGGCGCGCTTGCTGATGAACTTGCCTGTGACGTGAGATGTCTCGTGCGGATTGTCATTTTTGGGATAAGATTGCCATTATCAGATCCTGCTCAAGGGGTTGCTTGTCGGATCATTTTGTATGCACACGTTCGATGGGATCGATCAATCTATCCGGGGAACCGTCGAGTTGGTAAAAAGTATTGTCGTGTGAAGGTGGTCAGTCTAGATGGATCACCGACAATGGCCGCGTCGGTAGTCTTCCCTTTGTACCGGATGATCTTCTCATGAGTGATAGAACTGAAAAAGCTGTCCATTTTGGAGGCCGGTGGTGGTCGCTGCGTTTCTCTGCGCGTGTTTTACTTCAACCGTTGTTCTAGTAAACGGCTTAATTAACGTCTGGTTGCAAGCAAGTAAGTACAGTACAGTATTGTATGGAGACAACATGGCATAGCCAGGTCTAGTAGGTTGGCGGTTGTTTGCTTGCTTGCCTCCACTACCACGGTGCCCTTATTTCCATACCCAAGTACGGATACATACATGGAGGGGGGAAAAGTGACAATTAACGCGCTGATCTCATATCTGGTTCCTCATAGTGGAATACACTGCAGCTCAGTTGGTGATTTTCAGGTGGTTGTACTGCTTAGGTTGCTCCTGTCACCTTGCAGTTCCTTCCGTTCTATACCTTGCCTTGCCTTGCTTTGCCTGCCTGCCTGCCTGCCTCGCGACGCAACGCAACTCGTAGCTGCGCAATATTCCTTCCTCTTTCCTCTCCCCTTCTTTTTCGTTCTCTCCCTCTTCTACCTGTCTTTCTCACACCTCCACATTTTCGTAGCAACAAAGAGATAACCGATTTCCTTCTCCCTACCTTATTCTCGATCTTCGACCTCAACTTTCCACCTTTATCCACCTCGGTCGACTTGTCCCGTACCTACTTGCTACTTTATCTTTCAGTGACCCCCCCGGCGCTGACTCAAGCGCCTGCAGAGACAGCGCCGTCCGCAGCAGCAGCAGGATTTGTCCTTGCCCGCCATTCTAGTGGCCCAGCGCTGCCCGGCTCGTGTCTGTGTGCAATACATCGTTATTGTGCTTATCCCTTGCTGGTCAATCCATCATATTTTGTTGTACTTCTCGCCCGACCAGAATTTTTGCGCAAGTTGAGGAAAAGGAAGAAAGAGGGAAATTCGACGGGACCATCCAACGCCAAGTCGAGATACGGACTTCTCAACCAACAAAAGCGCCAAAAACCCGAGTCATCGTCGGTGCAAGTTCTGGTTAACCAACCTTGCTACATACAGTACCGGCACCTAGCTTTGACCCCCTCCACGTCGCGCGTCAGGTATTGTCCACGTCGTGTCGAGCGAATTCCTCCACCACCAAAGCCATCGTCTACCTCGAGGTTCACAGCAGTCACATCGCTAGCTTCGACTTTGTCGCCAACAGTTGCAATCCAGTGCCGTGATTTCTGAGCTCCACCCGCCCATTTCCCTTGTTGGCTGCTCTGAGCTGTCTTGGACTAGAGTGCTACGTCCCCAGACCCCGGCCATTGGACCAATTTCGCGGCAGACGCCCGCCTGTTGAGTTTGCGCTACTCTTTATCCTCGCCTTGTGTCCCAAAAGACGAACAGCATCAATCGATCAATCAAACTGGTGCCATCTTGGGAGTTCTTGATTTTGGCGCTCCCCAGCCGGCCTTTGAATAATCCAAGTCAAGCAAGCCCCAGTCTTGCCGCCCCTGTCGGTCGGCCAGAAGAAACCCAATCCCAGCCAGGACAGGACCTCTACGTAGGCGGAACCCCCCCTGTTACTGTCCCGCCCAGCGCCACCACGAGGGCCCTTGTCGCTTGTCCATCGCACGCCAGATCTACCCACCCCCCTTGGCCTGGTCTGGTATTATTTGTTTCTTTTCTTCTTCGCCTCTGTTCATTTCGCCTCATCGGTCCCCCCTCCCCGTTTTGACACCCCCATTGCCAATCCTCACCTGAGCCCATTGTCACATCTCTTATCCTAGTCCCGTGTCGACCCCATTCCTAGCCTTTTCACTTCACCTACCACCAGGACCTCGTTCTTTACCACCCCCCTCCCCGTTATTTCGTGCTGCTGTTTTCTTTCGCCCGTCAAGCACCCCCCCAGCCGGATCTAGCCAGGCCAGATGCATCTACGGCCTTAAAACTGTACCAAATCATTGTTAGTAATTACCAGATCCGCTATGGAAGCGACTGACTTTGGAGCCAGGCAAAGGTCCGTTTGAATCCCCAACTTCAATATTCATATTTCTGTCTGCCCCTCCCATATTAACATCCTTTCTCCTCTTACAGCCGTCACTCTGCTACCAATTCAGAACACCAACTCCACCAACCATCTCAACCCGATCAACCATACTCAGATCATCGCCACCATCACTCCTACTCGCGGGATATTCTCGACAGGTCGTCGTATCGAGAACCTCCCGCCATGGCAACGGCAACCCTCATCGCTCCGTCCGCCCACTATCCGAGTCAACCGCCCTTTCCCAGCTACTCGCAATCAAGCTCGGGAGCCGCCAGCATATCCAATATGATCTCCTCGGTTGAACCTCGAAAACAGGCCGACGATCAAGAGCCACCAAATCGTCAATCGCTCCCTTCTATCTCGGAAGTTATTCAGGGTACCAAGCCTGGACCATACCCCGTCGCACACGCGCCTGGTCTGCAGTCTGCTTCGAGCCTACCATCGCCTTTCGCACCGGCTCCTCGACCTTTCCCTGAAGCCGAGAAACACTCTTCTCCTCAGCCTCTTCATCCAACATCATCTTATCCTCGACAAGAAGGGCTGCCGGCCTTTTCTGACTCGCCTCGTCCGCACTTTAACGGTCGTCCATCACTACCTCCTGTCTCGGATCGCCGCCAGAGTCCTCCAGCCAAAGCCGATTTACCTCCTCAGCATCATCACGCAGAGCAGAAGCTGCCCGAATCTCACCATCCTCTCAATGGGGTCTACTCGCATCCTCCGCCGCCCCCTCCTCCGGCCCCTGTTGCATACCAGCCTGGTCAATTGCCTCCTGGGCAAATGCCTCTCCCTGCGTATCCCATTTCTCCAAGACACGCAATGCCACCACCTGCTCCTGGGGCATACGATCCCCGAGCACCCCCACACGCTGAGGAGTCTGAATACGCTGCCCGAGCTCGCTACGAAGCTACAGTGGACAGACATTTCGAGAGTTGGAGCTACCAAGACTCGTTGAGCCGAGTGAGTACCAAGCCTCTTTGCACCGACTTTTGCTCTTACTAACTTTATCTAGATCGGCTCGTCGTCCCGTACTATCTTTAATTTTGCCGAAGCTTATAGCAGGATCGCACAAGAACAGCACGGTGCTCATCCTATCCCCGCTCGATTACCTACAGAACGCGAAGTTAGCGATATGATCAGCAATATTGAACTTGTCAAACGATCTTTGGAACAGGTGCGAGATCTGGTGCAAACTTCGATCCAGAATGAGCGAGCTCGAGAAGGAGCCAAGATGAAAGGCCCCTACGAAGAGGAGCACGACGTCAATATGTACGGTGATGGAATGAAGCCACAATATGGCATTACAGAAGTCAAGAAGCGACGAGGTGTAAGTAAATAGGATCAACTACTGATGAGCGTGTAACTGACTAGACATAGCGTGCTGCACCTCCAGGGCGATGCCACAGCTGTAACCGGATTGACACTCCTGAATGGCGACGCGGGCCTGATGGAGCCAGGACTCTTTGCAATGCATGTGGGTTGCACTACGCCAAACTGGAGAGAAAGCGACAACTCGAGGCGAGGTCTATTCGCCCCAAACCCGAAGAGGCCCATCGACAATGAGGATAGTCGCTCAACCGCGGCTAGGGCGTCACATGTTGGAATATCTATGAGAGATATAATTCGAATCTGACATGGGATCATCCCTAGTCATCGGCAGACATATACGCACACTCGACGGATGCATATACGCAACATTTACGTTTACTAATACCCAACTTTCGGAACGACGACTTTGCGTCGTTCTTTGTACATACATTTTTACAACTCGAATTCCTCAGGCTTCTCAGCAAGGATTCGCGGCATATCAGGCGTTGGTCTTACGGACACCCAGCCAACATTTTACTGGGTGTAACTTGGGAAGTTTCATGGAGGGAGAGGTGATGTTTGAATTTCTAGACAAAAGAGTTTTCTTGGGCCACGCAATAGTGGGGAACTTATTGGAATCATTGGAGATGTAGCGCAGAGCAATCGTGGTAGTCACCAAATTGAGGTGTTGGAATTGCTCATTTGGGAGAAGTACTTTTACATGGTATTGATAGTTGAGAGAAACAAGACTACAACGGATTTACGGCATGTACCCAAGATAAATCGTCTTGGCATGAAGAGAAGCAAATTGAAGGACCCCATGATCTGGTTTGGTGTATCTAAAGAAGTGAGTGATGCAGATGAAGATAGCGGAGAAATCAATCATACATTACAGCAAACATGTCAAAAGTCGATAATCGCGGATGCATGCACCCTTGAATGTATGTACTGTACGTCCCTGCAGAACTAACTAGTGATGAGTGTGTGGTGTATGCATTCGGTGGCGGGACGATGGTAGTTGAGACAGGAGTCGGGAGCCCAAGATGTACATACTGTAACGGGAATAGAGATGTGACTGAGATTGAGATTTAGTTTATTAGATTGATCTGTTTGCCACTTGGGCATAGATAGAGAGACTATTGAAAGATTGGCGAGGCTTGAGTGGCCATTTTTGGAAAGGCAAGGTCAATCAGTAACCAATTGAGCGGCTATACTGTACAGTATATGATCCACAGTTAAAATGAATGATATACGCAGCTTGGCATTGGTAGTCTGTATTGACGTATAGTAACCAGTTCCCCCAAGACAATAAAGGCTACGAAAAGAGGTAGCGAGTGCCAACTCATGACTACGGGAGGTGACCTATAAGACAAAGACAAAGACAAATACAAAGCAAGACAAGACAGGATAGGATAGGTTGAAAGGATCAAACATACGGTTCGACGGGAACAGTTACACAGAGAGGATAGGGGTCGCACATAGGAGACGAGGACGGGACGGGAGGCTAATCAAGGTACGAGCGGGAGATCTAATGACGGGTAGCCTGCTTGAGTTCATCGGACACGGGAACGTGCTTGCAGGTGCAGGCGCAGGTGTAGGTGCGTGTGTATGTGTAAGTGTAAGGTAAGGATATGTGCTGAGTTGTTGGTGTTGGGTTTTGTAGCCGTTCTGGACGTGTAGTACAAAGGCTCAGCTGCAGAGTAGGTGTATAGAGCATAAGTCGATATCGTTTTTGCATTCCAGAGAGGGCAGCCAATACTATCAAGCATATGTTAACCCTGAGTATCATACACAATAGACGTACATAGGTATATCCTGGAGTGCTTTTAACCTACACACGGCAATTAGATGAGTTGCGATGAACCCCAAGAACACAACAGAGATGGTCGACAGGCGATTGTGATTGTGAAGCCATCGCCAGACCAAGACCAAACCAAACCTAACTAGAACATGTCTTGATGCCTGAACTACCCCAAAGCCCGTACGGTGAACAATGGGTGAAGGAACACAAGAGCTCGTATGCGCTGTTGCTTGTGCTATTTGATCAGAAACATGGCTGCAAGCACGCGATCTGCACGTCTTTCCAAGATCTTCCCTGGTCATCCCCCTTTTCTATCATGTCATGGTTCTGTTCTGTAGTACGGGAACACGAAAAGAGTGAGTATAGAACTATCTCTCATAGGTATGCATCATGATATAGCAGGGCATGGTATGGTATGGCATGAACCATAAAAACCAACACTCCCTTGCTCTCTGTGCAACAGTAGCACAGCAAGGTCAGCGAGAACAAGATAAAGGCGCTCCTGTGCCGCGTGTCTGCAAGTGTTTGGCTGGTTTCTCCCCAGCTGGGTTACATAGCATTACATGTACGGAGTCTATATGTATCTATCCATCCATGTGGCTTGGTCTGTATAAGGGAGATCCAGAGTCAGGTTGGCCCTGTAGACTACAGTACAGGTGTTGTCTGTCTTTCTGTGGTTCGAGGCTGTGAGGTTCTGGGAGGCGGCATGCGAACCATGTGCATTGGATCGACTAATAGTACGTTGAACTGTGTTGTGATGTGATGTGTTATACTGATAATCAAGCCATGGCTTGGTACTGATAACCGGGTGTTTCGATATGGATGGCCTCAAATACAGAAACAGAACAAAAGTTCAAGGTCGGCTGAGACTAAGTCATAAGTCATAAGTCATAAGTAACATGGGGTCTAGATTCTCAGTCCTTGACTTGGATGGTGAGATGATCGACTTCAGATGGTGTCGTAGTTGTGCAACTACACTACAGTACAGCCAACACGCCGTGTTTTTCATTTTCATTGTTGGTGCTGTAATGAGATAGAACGGAATTAAGCCGTCTCCTAATTACTCAGTCATCCATCACTCTTGTTTCATTCTTCAAACTCTTCAACAGCCCGTCATTCCAGCCAAAACTAAACAAAGATACCGTTCCAACCTAGATAGGGATCGGGTCCCTTCACAGCCACGTGGTATCTCACCACCCGAGTAGAAAGGGTCTGGATCTAGTCTTTGCCTCCGCCAGCCTCTTTTTTCCCACCCGGGGCGTTGGGTAGTTTGAAAGGGGTAGAGCGCGTATATTTGGCTCGAAGCATGTCACCAAGCATGGGCAGCACGAGGTGCTGAACCATTACTAGCATTGTTATGGGGAAAAGGGCAGTGGACGTATGCAAGGGAGGAACAACAGAGACCTGATTAGGTAGGCGTAGTTGGAAAGACTGGAAGACTGAAGCTAAGGGCAGTTGGAGACAGGGATCACTCGTCGAGGAATGTGACGGATTGACGCGGTTAGATAGATGTATGTATCCAAGTGTCTTTTCCTTCTTTCCCTCGTGGTCTTTCTTGACAAGAGACCGACCATTTCAAGGGCGGCTTTTTGGCAACTCGGTCACCGATTTCCATGTTTTGATGGAAGTTGGTTGCATACGGATAGAGTTGGTTGAGTTAGAGTAGAGGTTGTCCCCTTGCATTTTGACGTTGCATGACAGCGGATCTACTCTATTCAAGGGTTCAATACGATCGAAAGAAGAGCATATCAGCTTTGCTTTTGTTTTGTTTCAAACGTTGACTTTAGAATGATGTGCATTTTTAGACTGTGGTACTGTACGTGGTATAGGTAGGGGTAGAGCCTCTACTCTGAGGATATACCAACAACCAAGGTACAAGTAAAGAAACTGCCGAGGTGCTTCCACTTGAGGCGTCACTGGTAGGTACAGTAGTTCCAAAAACCCGTTTTGTTCAAAAGTTAAAACAGACAAAGACAAACCTTTCAAGTCTAGACAGCTACAGTAACTAAGCCGAAGCCGTCGCAACGGGCGGAGCCACGAATGTATCGTGTTTACTTGAACCAAACATGACTCTTGGACTACAGTATCACGTAACTTGCCGGAGCACCTGTCTGTGCCTGAATCGAGATCGATATTGACGAGTCTACTGTACAGTAGCTAAAACATAAACTAGGACTTATTGGTCCACAACACCAAAGACTAGAGAGATCTCCGATCACCGACGAAAACTGCACATGCAGCACAGCAGAGCAGAGCACAGCACAGCACAGCACAGCACAGCACAGCACGGCACAGCACTTTGCTCTATCGGGTATAACTCATAAGCCCAAGTTTCTTACGGTGGACGCCGTTTCTTATTTTCCCATGTAACCCACGAGTCTCGCTTGAGTTTAGTTTAGTTTCGGTGCTCTTGGTTCCTTCGATCATGCCACCACAAGATCTGTCTAGAGATCGAACCTCCATGTTTGAGTTGACGCCCACTTTGGAATGGGCGGCGTGTGCCTTGCCTCGGCAATTGCACAACAGTTAGATCGAGGGCGTAGATTAGCCTACCTGAGCCTGAGCCAAGAGAAGTAAGCGGGCTTACGGTGTCTTGGTTGTGAGACAGAAGATATTGCTGCGATTGGACAGTATATTCTCCTCAGGTCTGGCCTGACGGTTCCTAGGGAGGGACTGGGTATCTGTTACATGTAGAATACATGTCATTTTGCGGATACTATAGAGGCGATGCTACATAACTGAGTCGGTTACATTGATATGATCTACCAAGGATATGATATGCAAGTCTATCGCCGATTTCTTCTGACATCTCTCTTTCTATGCTCGTTCAGCCAGCCAACCTTGGGTCTAGAAATGGGCCCATAACGGTAGACCGAAGTAAACATGAACCAATATCATTCCGGCCATCAAAGGTTGTTGGTCACCGTTGATGCTAAATCTACTAGTCACATTGCTAGTTTCGAGACAGGGGGCAGGCATTTTTCTAGCAGTGAAGATCATCATCACCTCTACCCATAGTCTACCATACGAGTATCGTATCTAATCAATCGTTGACAGTACTTTACTCAACTTTGGATAGCGTATTGTATATGAAATGAGATGAGATGTGAAATGCCTCTTTAGTGTGTAAACGCGTCAGTTAGTATTGGGTAGGATACGTGTCAGGGCCTGTCGTCTCCATCCCGTGCTGTCCATGTCCACTACAGTACAGTACGGGATACCCCCCGGGCTCCGGACCCGGATCCGGTGGTTATATCTACATCCAAGCCGCCCTCCCGTCTCGGCCCCGAGATTAGATCAGATCGGCATCGGCATAGTATAGCATAAGCGTCGGAGGACCAGGGTTATTCTATGTCTCTCGGCCCTTCTTATCATGTCTGTCTCTGATTTCCTTGCCAAATGTCTTAGTCTTCTCCTAGCGCTTCCACTCACATGATCACATCGCCGTTTCCAC